GTAGTAAATTTCTTACGAACTGCGTACTGCCTTAAGGAAATTTGACTCAAGAAAATTTCTTAGCCATTTCTTGTACGTCATTTTATATGGAGTTTTTGCTTTTCTTGAGAGCTGCATACAGCCCTTACGGGTGAAATGTGTATATCATACGCCTCTGTTGCCCCGTAGATGGGTGGAAATCAGCAAACAATAAACAAAACAAATAAAGTGCTGCAGCGTGGTGAAGTTTTCGATGCATAGAGGTCTGGTGAGAGTAGAACATCTACATTAGGGAGTGGCGAAATTTCTTCGCTTGCTAATACTTCTACCCTCATATCTAATACAACTGATTCGATACAATCAATTAGAGCGTTCCAGCACGTCTACGATTTGCAGGTTTTGCAGGATTTAGTCCAAAGTCGTTCCCGTACGCCAAAAATTCTGTATCTGGAACACTCTCGTGAGAGTAACTGAGTAACTGTTCCCAGAATGAAGTTTCAAGATTTAGTCTCGAGTTTTTCTTCTGGCAAATTCATGAAAAGTGACAAGCGATAGGTAGAGTTGCATTTGTGTACAAAAACAGAACGCGGTGAAAGCAAATAACCTTACATTTGTTAAAAAATGGAAGTAAATAATGAAATATTCGAATATATATGCAATTATTATTAATTATATAGATTTTAATAGTTATTTAATGATCTTTCAGCCAAATCAGTCTTGTACTAATGACAAGTAAACAAACCAAATGACGTTTTTGCTGGAAAAAGTGCTTTTTGCGTTCCCGTACACTTCGGGTTCTCCTGTTACTCTCACTAGAGAGAGTAAAATTGTAGTCTGACATTTCCACAGGTTTTATTAGTCCGAAAAGTACTGGAACAAACTAAATGTCTCTCGTTCGTAACAGTGAAAAGCGTTAAACTACTGACAAGCCAGGTAATAAGAGAGGTGAATTGCGTGTCGTTGGATCTAGTTCTAATGCTGAGCTTAATGTGGCCATTCCAATAAAGTGGCTTCATTTATCATCTTTTTAGCCATCTGTCAGCTCTGTTGATATTATTGAATATGTTGGAAACACTCCGGAATCGAAACGAATCTTTTATCATGTTTTAAACTTATTTAAAAGGATGCGCCAACTGACTATTTAAAACGTGTAAACTTTAAGCTTGGGGTACCTGAAAACTCGTTTGATAAGTTGCTATTGCCGGAAGTTTGGCCCGCTAACGTAACCGTGCGTCGCTTTCTTTTTTTCAAAGGAAAGTAAGTCCGTCAACTCAAACATAGCGGCTAAAAAAACTTCGCATAAATTAAAAGTATATTTTCACAATGTATCTGGTATGAGAATCAAAGCAGAGGTAGTTCGTCGATTAAGCTCTCACCTAGATTATGACGTCTTTTTAATTTTCGAAAGTTGGTTAAATAACAACTTCTTCGATTTCGAGTTCTTCGATGCAAACCTATATAGTGTTTTCCGGAAAGATAGAGACGAAATCAAAACTGGGTGTTCCAGAGGCGGCGGCGTGTTAATTGCTGTACAGCGGAAATTCAGCTCATCTTTAGTTGAGCTACTTAATTCTGATTCCCTCCTTGATCAACTTTGCGTTACTGTGCGGGGATCTTTCGGCCAACTGTTCGTGTGTGCGTCGTATATCCCTCCCAACAGTAATGACGAGATTTATAAATGTCACATTGATAATTTAGTTTATCTAAGTTCTGAAGTTAAGAATCACCATATGTGTGTCCTTGGTGATTTTAATCTTAATAATATTTCTTGGAGTAACTTAAGTAGTTCATCAGGGTTAACGCCAGTTAATGTGTGCAATGTCAATGATACTTATGTAACTGATAGTCTCCTAAGTATTGGCCTTTCCCAAATTAATCATTATTTTAACGATTTTAATCGACTTTTAGACCTAATTTATTTAAGTGACAACTTAAATCATCAGCTGGAGGTATGTGATTCACCAATTTCTCCGCGGCACGCTCACCATATTCCTTTAGAAATTACACTCCGATTCTACAAATTCTTTACTCCATCGCCTAGTTCTTTGCAACCTATTTTTAACTATAATCTATGCAACTTTAATAAGCTTAATTCACAATTGCTAAGAATCGATTGGAACACGCGCTTTACTGAAATGGATACCACAAACGCCTTCACGACATTTAAATCTCGTGTTTTTGATCTCTGCCTGGATCTAATCCCCACATTCACTAGGAAACCCTATAAATTACCATGGCACACAAAAGAGTGGAAACGTCTGAAAAATCTGAAGAGTAAATTCTTCAAAAAGTTCAAAAAATCCGGGCACACTTTGTACCTTGAACGTTATCGGCGTTACCGTAAGAGTTTCAACGCCCTCGATAAGTGTCTACATGATAGGTACATTAAAAACTATGAATCCAACATCAAAAATAACCCAAAAGCTTTTTGGAGTTATATAAAATCTAAAAAATCAAGCTCTGGCATACCTTCCTCCGCCTTCTACAGCGATAAATATGCGAGCACTCTTGTTGATGNGTAGCTTTGCATAAACAGCAAGCGGACGAGTTTGTTAAGACTCTCTCTTCACTCACTGCTGAAATCAAAGAACTTCGTCGTACTGCGCGTTGCTGTAGTTCTGTGAACAACAACGATAAAGCTAATAAGCTAACCATTTCATCTAACGTTATAAATGCTGATATAACTAGTGCCTCTACACCTGATGCTGCTTATCGTCCTTTCTTATTTCCTTCTTCTTCGCCTCTGGGCATTCGGTCATTTCCCACTGATGCTAGCNCGAATCAAGTAGATTGTGTTTACACAGATTTTTTGAAAGCCTTCGACAGAGTTTCACATAGAGTGTTAGCTTCCAAACTTTCGGCTTTAGGTTTCCGTTCAACTTTTCTTGAATGGATTAAGTCCTATCTGAGTAATAGACTTTGTGTGGTTACCTTAGATAATGTCTCCTCGCAACNTCGTACTGCGCGTTGCTGTAGTTCTGTGAACAACAACGATAAAGCTAATAAGCTAACCATTTCATCTAACGTTATNGCAACCTTTTGTTGCCTCTTCAGGTATGCCCCAGGGCAGCATCCTGGGACCTTTGTTATTTACATTATTTATTAACGACATCGGCTCTTGTTTCGCAACTTCTAAATTTCTGCTGTATGCAGACGATTTACTCAATAAAAAACTTGCAAGACGCCTTTGTTCTTCAGTCGGAACTCGATAATCTTGAGTCTTGGTGCGCTNCTAGTGCCTCTACACCTGATGCTGCTTATCGTCCTTTCTTATTTCCTTCTTCTTCGCCTCTGGGCATTCGGTCATTTCCCACTGATGCTAGCAG